AAATTAATCTCTATTTGTGCCGATATGCGGACCATGGCGAATTTCCTTTTTTGGGTGATTATATTCCTGATAGTTTGAGGTGAAAAAAAAGAAAAAAACATTCAAAATATACTTTTACGGGTCTTTTTTGTAATTATTTAGAAAAGAATTTGTAAAATATTAAGTAATATGTCTAAAAAAACTAGAGGAAGGATTGAGGCTTTTTTTATCGTTCTCTCTTTTTATTGGTTATTTTTTTGTTTTCGCTTCTTATTGATATCTGATTAGCCGAAACTTCATTAGGAAAATTTTTAGGAATTAATTTGGGTCGTTTTTCTTTTGTGGTTTCTCTCTGGTTTTTCATTCTCTTATATTTTTTTGTTCGTTTTATCATTTTTATTATTCGGCAAATTAGAAAGAAAAGAAAACGCGAGCGAAAATAGTTCGAAAAAGAAACTTTCTCACTGAATTAATTATTATAAAATTAATAATATCAATATTATGTCAAAAAATAATTTCAAATGTAATCAATGTGGAGAAAAAAATGATTACTTGGATTTCCCTATCAGAGGTTTAAATAGTGCTAAATTATGCCATAATTGCGGAAAAAATACTTGTTTCGTCTGTGGCAAAAAAGAAACTCCATTTCACTGAATTGAGGACGAGGACTGCCATGGAAACAAAATAATGACAAAAGCAATGGGAGAAATGTTTCATCAACGAGAAAAGGAGGATAACAATTTAGAGAAAAGTTGAGTCGTTTACTATTGCGACGAACATAAAAATAAAGGGCAAGAAAAACCGAACAAATGAACCGAGGAGGACAATAAAGTATGATATGAAAAAAGGCAAAAGGAGGAACGAGAGAGAATAGCCAAGGAAAAACAAGAAATAGAAGAAAAATTAAACAATCAAAAAAATCTTTTTCTTTGCGAAGGAAGAACCGACGAAAATAAGGAAGGGATAAAATATGCTAGTTTTTTAGGTATGGAAAATGGGCAAAAATATTATCTAATGGTGCCTGTTGACCATCCAATAAAAAAAGGAAGAAAGGCCAAAAAAAGAGCCGGGCGAAACTCTTCCCACTTCTAATTCTCAATCTTCCGGACTAAATAATAAGATTTTATGAATAATTGTTGGCGGAATAGGTGGAGTGCTAATAATTGCGGTTCTGATTGGACTATGGTTAAGGAAAAAACGAAAGGAGTAATTATCGGGTTATCCTTTTGCCATAGACAAAAATCCAATTGTGTTAAGGTCAAAAAAAATTAAGCATTTAACAAGAAAAGGATTTGTATAAAAGCGTTATTTATGAAACTAAAAATATTTATTCATGGCAACTCAATATAAAACGGGGTGTTCGTTTTGTCCTCCTCGCAGTGAATTTGCAATTGTCGGAGAAAACGACCGGGCGGTTGCTATTATTTGTAATACTGCTAAAAGTTGAGGGCATTCTTTAATCATTCCCAAGGACCATAGTTCTAACCTTTTCTCCGCCGGAATGAACGAAACCATTTGAAAAGAAGGAATAGTTCCACTAATGCAGGATTTTATTAATAAATTAAAGAAAAACCCGCAGGTGATAGGTTTTTTTATCAATTCTAACGCTGGAAGCGCAGCGGAACAAACCGTTTTCCACACTCATATTCATATTGTTCCTATATACCTAAAAGACAAAGACAAATGGATTGCTTTTTTTAATGGCAGCACTAGTGAGGATTCCAAACTTTTTCCTGGCCCCTGAGAAAATAAGTATAACCCTACCCAAATAAAATGTCCACTTTTTTATTTCCATAAAAACTATCTACTTCATCCATCACTGATAACAACTCACTAACTGCTTCTTTA